TCGCGAACTATAGTGTTTTATAAAATATATATAACACTATAAACCAAACAAAAAAAAGAATCCTTTTTAAGACGTGATTACTTTTGAATGTTAAATAAACCTATTTGAAAGAAAAACTAAAAGATTTTTTTATTTTTTTATGAAATCTTATAAAATTACACGGACTAATCACTTGGATCAAGGTTAGGAGTTGTCCTTCCTCGGATTGTCAGGTTGGTGGCTTTTACCTATGTTGGATAACAAAGCGCAAAGCCTAGTTTTGAGCCCCCACCTTCACTAATGTCTTACACAGTCCCAGTCTTCCATAAGTGACATCGGGTTTTGTTTTACTTGTGTTTTTCCAATGACTAATTTTTGGTTTTCTCTTGTGTCATATTCTATTTGCAATTCGTTAAAATTCATGCATGTTATTATACCAAATTTATGCTACTAACCCATGTAGTTGCAGCTAAAACGTCAGGTACGCATCCCATAATTTATTTACTGTATTTTTACTACTTTACCTTGCAGCATTTTCTTACCCATGCATGTTTAACTTTACCTACAAAACAAAACAATAAAAATATAATTTTAAAAATAATAATACATCTTTAAACCTTTGAACCCACTTAATCTACTCCTTTTGAGTTTATGAGGATCTCTCGGATGAAGTAACTTACGGTTGCTAACGAGAATTCTCTGGTCTAAATAAGTTTAACCACTTGTTTAGAATAAATAAATTCAAGAGAAAATAATGGTGTTGGGACGACGGAACTGTGGGATCTTGACCGGTGTCGCTTAACTTAAATTAAAAGCCCCCCAAACATTCGAACAACAATGACAAATAAAAACAAACTATAGTACATAAAAGATCATAATTCATAACACACATAAACCTTGAAGTTGTTACTTCAACGAGAAGCATTGAAGCAAGTCGCGGCAGATGTAGAAAGAAGATCTACAACAGCAAAGCAAGTTTACATCAATTAAATTCTCTTAGTATAAAAAAAAACAAACAAGCCATAGGACTTCAAGGTAGTCTGTCTAGTGCGACATAAACCCTCACTCTATTTTTAGGCTTTTGTACATTGTACAATATAAGCCCTAGCTCTATTTTTAAGACTTCTGAGATCGTTGTTTGATACGATGTAAATCTTTCTATCTAGCAGACTATTTGCATAGTCGGATATTATGGAAATATAAGCCCTATAATTAATAATTTTCAAGATTGAACATAAATAATTTCGCTTTGAAAATATAAAACCTAATAACATCATAGCTTGGGAAGTCGTTGAGGTTCGTCTCTGTCATGTGATTTTCAAAATAAATGTTCTTACTTGGTCCTTTTTCAATTACTATTCTATACAAACTACCTAGAAAACCCAAACTTTAAATATCTTGAGGACGAAGCCCCTGATCTTTATCAATAATTTTCTTAAATGATCTAGAATTTTCTTAAATGATCTCGGTCATTTAAGATGTAATTAAAGATAGGGGTTTGCTCTTATAGGGAACTTTATAACCCAGGTAATATAGACCATATCTAATCCTTATATTAGATAAGTAAACAAAAAGATCAACATATAAAAGGTTTGCAGACCAAACAGATGTCATAAGTTTCTTTAGTTTATATGATCGAGCCCACTGTCAAGTAGTATGCTTATCTCTCGAGATGGTGTATTGCTTATAATATTGTGCTCGATTATTTAAACTATTAAATACATAAGATCTTGTTAGTCTCATATTTTCCAAAAATTAAAATATTATTTTCCAAATCAAAATTATATCTATATTAAATTTAAAAACTTATTTACAAAATTTAAAGCAACCGAAAACTCTTTAGTGTGGTTGACAAAGAAGAACAGAGTTATTAATGGGGATATCTTATAAAGTTTTCGATTGAGAATTAACTGCAGAATCAGGTGTGGTGTGACGTGGTGCCTATAGATATATGTCACATTTTGTTAGGGATGGTGTGGTAGTTTGATCGCAAGACTCGACAATATGGGTATAGGAACACCTACTCTTTCACCAATGATGGCAACCAAGTCATCCTTCTTCCTTCTGCGGAGTTCGAGATTACAAGTCTACTTGTCAGCAAAGAAGCGTCGATGGGATCATTTTTTGTGATAACAAAAGACAGCGAATCAAAAGAGTCGGTTTCAGACATAGTGCAGATGCAGCCGGTACAAAGAGTTTTACGACATTCTGTTTAATAAATACCGCCATGGCCGCCACCGTTAGCAGTTCGGTCCATCCTTGTGCCACATATGGATGAGTCAACTTATAGCTGCCTTTGGAAGACCCTGCAGATTATATTTGATAAGAAATCCCAATTTAGTCCAACAATGTATCTACAGGGGGTTGGACCGATACGGATGGCTACTCACAAGTTGGGAAAATTGCTCAAGTGTTTTAGGAAACAGTGCAACAGTCAGTGAGATCTAGTTACTCATATTGACAAAGTTTAAGATCCTTCAATCCCAAGCAGTTACAACTCTGACACTTTCAATATGCAGACATAAGCTTCGACGAATGAGGTCACAACTCTCTTAATTCTATGAGACTAACACGGGGTGTATCCCACGGATGCGGAATCTCCCACAATGGGAAGTGGATCCCACTTCCTTGCTTGGACCAGTTCAGTACAAACATTTTTACTCTAATGGATTCGGAAAGTCCCCTTAATCCGCTCCTAGTTATTCTATTACTATATATTTGCTTTCCTGATGTTTTAAGTTTAATTTAGTGTATTTATATTAGGATAGCCGTCGACGTTTCTTTTTCAATTTGAGGATTGTACTTTAAGGTTCCAGTGGCACTTTAGTTATATGTTGACCTCCTCTAAAATAAAGTAATAAAATGTTTAAGTGAATTTATCATTTGCAATTAAGAGAAAAACCCACCATCTAAAATAGTTTGTCGAAGTTGATAATTAAAAATAATTAAAACTCACAAAAAAGTATTGTCAAATCAAACGTATCTCTATGATTTCACTTAAATGACCGCATGTCAATAAGAATACTTGTCTTCTGTTCATATAATCTTGTGGTAAAATAACAATTAAAAAAAATAATCACATCCAAAACCCTTTGACTAGGTGGCTTGCCATAAAATAACGCAAGTATATTATGCTTGAATTCTAATATAAATTATTTCTGACTTAAATCTAAAGAAAAAAATAAAAAATTATAATATTGAAATGTTAAAGTAAATTTACCATTTGAAGTTAAGAACAAAATCCATCCACCATCTAAATTAATTTATCAAAGGTGATAATTTAAAATTAATTTAAACTCACAAAAATTTAATGTCGTACCAAACATATTTGTATAATTACACTAAAATGATCTTATGTTAATAAGAATACAGTGTGTTCTATGTTCATATAATTTTGTTGTCAAATAACGCTAAAAAAAATCACATCCAAAGCCATTTAACTCGAAGGCTGGCCATAAAATAACACCACAATATTATATCCATGGCCAAATTTCATACATTCCCAATGGCATAACCCCCTTGAGTCGTGAAGCATGTAGTGAACTTGATAAGGCACAAAATTTCATATTAACTAAGATGAATAATAGTGAACACAGGTTAAGATCATCTTCTTAAACATACATCTACCACAAATCTACAAGATTGACTTGGAAAATGCAACACATGGCTATTGACAAAGATCCTTCAGTTTTGTTGGACTAACTATATCAAATAGACCATGGTCCATGATAACTAAGATGACAAAACCAAAGGATTTTAATCAGATTCATCATCATCCCCTACCATCACTCAAAGCTAACAATGATAGTATTTTTTTTAAATCTAAAACCAAATTGCTGCTATTATACGCTAAGCAATTAGCAACTAACAATTAGCCTTAATAAAAAATTCTCTTTGCATTAGGAGCAATTAATCATATGAGTCTACTTTTTGTGTAAAACCTAAAAACAAATCTTAAAATCCTCATAAAATGAAGGTAGAACTCTAAGTGGTGTCCTATTTGCAATATAATGGGACTTATAAAAATTTAACCCCTAATCACATAAAAACTCTCACGAGTGGTCAAAGCATGATTTTTTGGAACTGACAGATATAGCAATATTTGATCTCAAAAAAATTCAAGGTGGCCTAACCCAAGTAGATTCTGCTCCAACAAATTCCCAAACTGCAAGCATCCTAACAAAAAATTTATTAAAAATGAGTTTTTATAAACTAAACAATTTTAAAATAATCCTGAATCAATGACTAGCACCTTTTCATCTATAACAACCCAATAATCCATATATAACATCTTTCTATATAAAATGATCCACTAACATGTGGACAATCATTGTAGATCGAAAATGAATTAGAAATCTGTCGACATCATCATTCCATTTCCCCTATGAAGTTAATTCTAGATTTCAATATTAAAAATTGATTTCCATATTTGTTTCATTCTTGATAATTACTTATCTACTTATTTCAATAAGCTTTCCATCTTTTTTTACACAAAATAGTAGAATAAAATTTAGCTATAGAACCTTCCATTTTCTATTATCCTCTCTTCTCATTAGAATTTTCAAGAAAGATCGATACTTATAACGCCACACATAATCTAGAAAAAAAATGACGATAAGGACTCATATCTTGTAGTACCAAATTCACTAAGCTATAAGGTCAAACTAAGAGTTTGTTGAGCAGCAAGAAATGAATCCTAAAAAATTGAGAAGCAATTCACCCTCAAGTATGTGATCAAATTGACCCAATGTAAGATCCATGCTTGAAAAACCAATAGATAGATCAAATAAACAAGATGAATAATGAATTTATCAAAAGGGTTTCTGACAACTTATTCCACAAGTATTGTCAATAGAAAACAATGACAAGGATTGCCAATTACATATGAATTTCAGAAAAGGTCTTCACCCATGAGTTTAGGATGCCATTGCATACATCCATGTTGGAGAAAACAATGCTTATAGTTTCTAAGAGAAATAATGTTTTTTATCATTGATGGATAACTTTTTCTACAAATGTACCTGACAAAGTCTCCTTTTAAAGCAGAAGTTCCAGAGTACTGGATGCTGATATCATCTCCATGATCAGCCCACACTAATGATGTATCAACGTGCAATAAAAAACAACATTTAACTAAAGAAAATAGTAAAATTCTAATTATAAAGTTCAAATTATATTAATCAATTCATTGAACAAATTAAACAAGAAAAAATACTTACTTTTCTTAAAGCATGTGTCAAAAAAAGAATAAGCACTGATAGCTTCATCATCACCAAAAATTCCAATTTGATTCAGCTGGCTTTCTAACATTTTTCCCCCAATCATGCTCTAGAAATCACAAATAACGTTTTTTTAGCAAAGAGATAAGCACAGTGCATCATGTAACTAATAAATGCAACGCTTATTTCCAACAAGCGTCATATTTTATTATTTTAACACAACATTCTATTAACTAAATAAAGTAAATCAACGGCCCATTACACAATTCAACTAGTGCATGAGTTATGGAAGAAATGAAGAAACTCGCTTGAGAGTACAACCTATGATCCATTGAAACATTTTAAATGCAGATCTTTATAGGTATCTCTCTCATCAGATTATCCAAAGCTCAAAAATATTACGTAGAACAAAACCATAGAGGAGGTGAGACTATACTCATTTTGGCTGCATTGACCGAAAATCCAACTACTTTTTCGCCACATCATCTATCCTCCATTCTTAAGCCATTTTCTTTTTCCACTTTCAGCTGTAGGTTTTATTTCCATTAAGAGTTTTATTACGTCCAGGTTAAAATTTAATAAAATTGAAAAATGAAATACAACCTTTATCAAATTTGCCTCGTCAGAAAACACAAATTAAAACATTTATTTATACTTTTCTCTTGTAACTCATACTATACTATAGGCTATCCGATACATACACCAAAGAGGCCCCGACATTTTAAATCCTACCAGAAACTTCGTATCAATCTACTTTGAATCACATTCCCGTGACATCAACTACAAACTGAAATCTTATCATGTAAATTATACCTTTATTATGAAATTACCACCTAGCATACTAATTATTAAATACCTACTTAATGCTCACTCAAATAAATAGAAATATATATGCTTGGCTGCAATGGACGTGTAAATTGATAGAACCATATAAGAATTAGCTAGCTAGGCTGATGAGGTCATAGAGTGGCGACACTTCTAAAAATTATTAAATTTTCATGTATTAGTCCATAACTTCTTTGTTTAGGCTATCTAAGAAAGATTGACTATTGATACAAACAAATATAAATGTTATGATAAAGAATTGATAAATCATCTTCGTATCTTTGTGTGCGCGCGCGCGACTAATATGATTGTAAACAAATATGAATATTACCATAAAAATGTATTAATTATTGTCTTTATATAAATAACTATGAATATTACCATAATTTAAATTACTATAGAATATAAAACACTCATCATTTATGAAATACAATATTATTCCAATCCGCTGATACAATGGTATTTATAAGACTACTATAAATTGTAAATCAAATCTTATTTATTGGTCACACAAAAAATATCATGGCTTACTATTTATGCTTCAATAAATAGGTGTCATATGTAAAGTTTTAATATCAAACACAAGAATCGGTAATTTTTTAAATTAAAGATTCGACGAAGCCACTTACGTGGACCATTACAACAAGAGCAAGCCTTTCAATAATAGTAGTACTTAACATTATGTTGTGGTTTTGCTTAAATTCTATTAGGATTTGATCACTTGTAATTTATATGGTTGTTCGACTTTTTTTTCCAATTAGTTATTGTTTATGTTTCATTATTGAGCTATCATTAAAGAAATTTTGATGAAATGAAATGTAATTTTTTCTTTTATGCTTACTTTCATCTGTCATATTTCTAATTATTCACGTATCAAACTTTTTCCTGTTGACTGCATAACAAGTTTTATTGATCTTCACTTTTAAATTTATTCATGAGTTATATTAATCATTTCAACATGTCCAAAGTATGGCTGTCAAAAATTTATCGTTTGTGAACAACTTGTGTTCGGCTCATTAAGTAGCTCATGTTCCATTCATTCGTTCATTAAGTGAGCAGAAATGAACAATTTTGTGAGCTCAATTTATAAATGAGTTAAGCACGAACAAAGCTTTGATCTTTCGTGTTTTGCTCATTTTGGCTCGGAATAAATAAGAAAATAGTTAAATAAAAAATTTATTTAGAACCTTTTTATGTTAATTTTTATATTGTATTATAAAAAAATGCATATATAAGATTTGAGTGGTATAAATATAAAAAACTAAAGTTTAGGTGTAAGATATGTAAATATATATAAATTGGCTACTATGCAAGTAACAGCCCAAAAAATAAATAAAATAATCTAGGCCTCCAACAATCCGTCAGTCACATCCACCACACGGTCCCACTTATTTTTGTCGCATTTGTTTAGGTTTACATACATAAAACATAGGAATAAGCTGGTATGTATGTAAATGCCCAAAAAATAAAAATGAAAAAATGAAGCCACAATGAATTGTTTAATCCCACATATATGGGAGAAGTCTACTTTGACCTTTCATGGTCATTAAAAGCAAGAAATCCCTCTTTTGGGCGCAAGTCATGTGGCCCGTGAGAGTTATAGAAAACTCCGATTCGAGTTGAACATGACCAAAATTCCAATGAGTTTGAATCGAGTCAAACAAAGCATGCTTTTCACGAGCTATTTTGAGCACGAGTCAAACATGAACAAAAAAAATTTGAACGAGTCGAACATGAATAAGCCTTGGGCTCGCTCAAGCTCGCACGCCCGTAGTCCTAAGTTGTAAGGTATTCTATCATTTAGAGCCAAAGTGCAACAGCATAGTATTAGAGAGTGTGTAGTTTGTATATGATATACCTTATTTTTCTTAGAATCAAAAGTATGGGCACTAAAAATTCAGGTACGGCTATTCTAAGAGAGATTGTTGTATTTTATCAAATTTTTAGATAAAACATTAGAAATATCTCTTAGCCTCATATTACGAGAACTTTATAATATGTTTGTAAATTTTGAATAGATGTACCCAATGATAAAGCAAAGCTCCAAATCAAAATAAAAAAACTTTCAATTTAGATAAGTCGTTTGGGGCTAAAAGCTTAGTTCGTAGTAACAACAATTAGTTTTAAGGAGTAAGAAAAATTTATTATCATTACTTAAAGTGGATGATGGGAAAAAAGATAACGAATTTGATCAAAATTTTATGATTTCGCTATCCCAGATTATAGTGGATTTTGTTCTACTTAATCAAAAGAGCTCAACTTGATTGGAGGATCTTTGTCAATAGATATGAGTAACAACATCTATAAGAAGTTTCTTATAGACCCAAGCTTAATGTTTAAACTGACATTAGCTAACATGAGCCTTACATTCAATTAAATGCACTCCATAATTAAGCACCCAAAGTGACATTGGAGTTAACCAAATAATAATGGAAAATCAATATTATTGTTGAATTCAAATATGAAATTACAATGATATAACAGGAAATCAAGAATTGCAACCAACGATAACACAAACTCAAAATAGGATTGGATCGAGGGAAGGTGGTGGTGGTCCACTGGAGTTTGGAAGGTGGCAAGAAAGCGAAAGAGGTAGTGGGAAAGTAGAAAATAGAAAGGTGGTTGTTTCCCAGATTTTGAATAGCAAGCAAGCCGTGGAGATTGACACAGAATGGTTGTCCAAGATGACGACAGTAGGGTGGAAGGTGCCAGTTGCAAGGGGGAGGCGACTAGCAACGTGGACAACGATAGAGGTTGTCATCAGGGGCGACGATAGCAAGATAATGAAGGTTTGGACTGGTGGGAGGTGTTCATTTTGGGGATGATGGCAGCAAGTGTGGAGAGGTAAGGGCGGTTGTGACAACTGGGACTACCGGAAAACAACGAAGAATCATTGTTTTGGACAACTGCAACAAAGGAGGGGAGATGAGGAGCTATGTAGAAAGGATGGCGGAGGATAAAAGTAAGGATAGTCACTACAGGAGCGAGATACAACCAAAACACTACTTGTACACTTATATACAACCCAAGATAGAACAGCAAACACGTCGACGGCTGTTCCGAACAATCACACGATAAATACTAAACCCAATAGATCACGAAAGCAAATTTTTAATGGTAGAATAACTAGGAGTGGGGTCAAGGGATCAGCCCGCACTACACAGCATTAAAAAGCTTGGACCAAGCAAACCAAACAAGCAGGTACTCACCCGCTTTTAAACACAACAAGAATTCTGCCTGCATTCAGGCACCCCGCGTCAATCTCCCGGGGTTGGTGGAGCTTATCCCTCATTCGTCAAAGCATCCAGCGCGTGGGTATGGAATCAAGTTATTCACGTTGATAGTAACAAAAAATGTTGTAATCTCCATGTAATTTAATCTTCTTGGCATTATCATTCAAAAATACACTCTGATAGAATAAGTATTCATCCTCTTTTGGCAACAACTAAGCTAGAGCTAGATATATACATAAATTTTTATAATATAAATCTCGAGCCATGAAATCTGTAATTGGCTTCTTTCACTCGTACACGATGGGGCATGTCTGATAAATAAAATGTTTGGAGGAATTAACACTGGAATGAAATATGTGGCACACTGGATTACTTTCAGTGGTAACCACCCATTAGGGAAAAAATCGGTCATGATGTTGGCAATTCTTTCTACATGAGTGTCCACTTTTCAGGCATCGGCTCATTTGGCAACTTATTTTCTCGAACCACGAATATTAATCCATTAGGATTCACGCTCATGGGCTCAGCTTAAGTCTCTTTCTCGTCAGCTCGCAATTGAGACTCCTTACTGAAGTCTTCATCCTCTCCTATATCCTTGCCCATTTCTTCAGCTGCTCCCTTCTCAATGAAAGAGATCAATTTATTGTTTAGGCAATCTGATTCAGTACGCCCAAATCCGTGGTACTTGAAGTAATTTTTGGCTGAGGTGGATTAGAGAATGTTGGTTGGCTTAACCTATTCTCCACTCTGAACTAGATTCACTTCAGGCAGGGTCAGCTTCGGTGTTCCGTTGAGTGTACTCTTGCTACTTTATCTAGGGGTTGAACTCTACCTGTAAGATATGGCGGTCAATAGGCAATGTTGTCTCTTCACCTTCAGGGCTAAAGTCTGAACATTATGTAATGTTTGATAAGGTTGCAACTGCACCATATTGGCAATAGACCATCTCAACCCCATTAGATATCGAGCTACAGTATTCTTCTCAGACTCCACCAGCCCACAATTCAATAAAAGTTGCTCGAACTCAACTGTAAACTCCTCTACTGAGAGA